GAGGAAGGGGTTTGAACTAATGAAGAACCAACAAAAAATACAAGCTTACAAAATGCAGAAATATTAAACTGAAAGGCGGCTAAAGCAAACGCGATGAACATAATAACTAGGAACTTACATTGTATCGGCGCTGTAGGTCGCGAAAAGGCAACTCTAAACCAGATAGATGTTCTCTTAAGACAAGATGTTCTCTCGATGAAATCAACGATGAAACTAAAGAGCTAGAATATTAACGACATGTAAATTATACCCAACGCGGGAAAGAAAAACAAAACGTATTCCCGAAGGAATGCTAATGAACTGAAATAGAATGCAGAGGATGCTAATTCTACACCATACCAATGTAGTAGAACATGGGTAAGCTAGGGTAAATGAGGGTTAACAAGGTAGAACATGGGTAACTTAGGGTAGATAGGGTTTAACGTGGCAGAACATAGGTAACAATGGGTAGATGGGGGTAAACGTGGTAGAACGTGGCTAACCTAGGCTAGATGGGGGTAAACGCAGTGTAACATGGCTAACCAAGGGTAGATGGGGGTGAACGTGGTAGAACATGGGTAACTTAGGGTAGACAAGGGTTAACGTGGTAGAACATGGCTAAACTAGGGTATATGGGGGTAAATGGGGCAGAGCATGGGTAACTTGGGTAAATGAGGGTTAACGTGATTCTAACTGAATCTAACTCTAACTGAAGGCAATACAATGTATAGAGCCAAACTGGGTAAAACCAAAGTCCAAAGTAATGCTGAATACAAGTTCTCTCTTTCTATTAGAAATATTCTTTTGTACTGATATGAGCAAAGTTTTAAAAATCCTTTCAAAGTGGTGGGCAAAATTGCTCTTCTCTTAGACCAAGCTTAGGGCCATGTAAACCTCGTTTTTATTGAGAAATATATCATATTATTACACATGTCGTAGAGAAAAAATAAAGAAATAACAATCAAGCGCGCCATTCATGATGGAGACTAAGGCTGAGTCTCACTGATGATTGGTAGGCAGAATATCGATTGAGTGTCTTGATTGCAGGCTAGGGCTCTAGGGTTAATGTACTTTTTATAAAAATGCTTCTGCAACGGCTTTCATTTTTTATAGGAGTGGGGAGAGGAAATTTGCGAGATTCTCGTAACAGATTAACATTCTAAACTTTATGAGATAAGAAAAACGTTTTTGTATTAAGCAAGCTGCTGTGTGTACGGCAGGTGATTGTATTCTTGTTTTTGCGATTCTCTTGCCCGTTTAACCACACTCCTTTCATCACGCGTGTTACATCTTAATAAGAAAGTGAACAAAACATTTCGTAAGTAATTATTGATCGCAATCGGAAAAATAGATTTAAGTTCGTAATATTTTATGCAGAAGTGAGGCGGGAGTCTATAGTGCGCCATGACTGCGTCTTAGCCTGAAGCTAAATTTAGGAATAAATTACTATCAAGAATAAAAAATACAGACATCTGTGATAGTATTCTTATTCTACTTCGTAAGAGGAAAGTCCAACTTCTTAGGAAGAAAATCAATCATAGTTGAATTTTGAAAAAACGAGAGATTTTGAAAAGAACTCCACAATGCACCGATCAGTTCGAAGCTTTAACCCCCCTACCCCAGTGCAACGAACGGGCATTTGTCTGTCGTCCAACGGCTCTCCCTTTTACCACATACTTTATTATATGACAAGACAGTAAAATCAAACTAACATATCGTTCTTTTCTATATCATGCGTGCAAATCTTTTGTTTTGTTTTTGTTTAACTGT